TCTGGGCGACAGAGTGAGACTCCAACTCAAAAATAAATAAATAAATAAATAAATAAATAAATAAATAAATAAATAAATAAAAATAGTCATTACTTACATCAGATTCTTATTTAGGTTGGAAGAATTTTGTTTAGACTCAAATCTCCTTGTACTCCATTTAAAACTTAAATGTTGTAACTACAAATTGTCACCACCATCTTTATCATCATGAAGATACCTTTGTTACGCCTCCCTTCATTTCAGACCAAGTGGTATGTCCGGAGATACAGATATATAATACATTCATCCAATTCAAGGACTTTAAAGTCCAGATTTGTCTTGTATGTGGAACTCGCCCCATTGAAGATATAACTTGTCTTGTATTTGTTTTACTTCTTTCTCTTTCTGTAGACTAGAAATAGTGCCGGTGTTCCTTCAAAGGGTAAATCACAACTGAATTGCAAAAAACTGGCTCCTTCCCCAGCAGTGGCAAAAAGGGCACGTCTTAAGGGAAAAGACCACAGGCTGACCATTTGCTTCTGTGCTTCTGACAGAGGGAGTGCTGCACCCCCATGGTGGTCCTGGAGAGGGAAAAGAAACCATATTTGAGACACTAGATGCCCTGTTGACACCACAACTGGAGCCTTAGGGAACATTTATGAATGGAACTGAGTCAGTTAAGTAAAAGAACTGCAGCCCAGGAAGCTACAGCAAAGGACAGGCTTAACCTGATGACTCCCAGGTAGCAAACCGCTATCCACACAAGATCCTATTGGAAGATTTCCTACCACCCAGGACAAATGTGACGAAGATGCTCATGACTCTTAGGATGTTATGTCAAGCTTGATGCATAATTGTATCGTGTATGCCATGAATATGAATTTAAATTAATAAAAAACAAATTTCTTCCCATCCAGTAGTACTCCACCAACTAAGGAGTTTGGAGAAGAGGCTTTCAACAGCATCAAGAAATGGCACCAAGAAGAAATTGCAGTCCCATGAAGAACTAATTCATATCCAACGCACTCCCTACACAGCTTGTCTTTTAAAGATGACACCTTCCCCTTTTGGATTTTGTGAGCCCTTGGGATTCACTTCTTCTCAAAATTTGATTATACATTTCAAAGAATGGGGTAGAGGTGCCTGTAAGGAGAACTACATAAGCAAAAGTATAAAATTGGAAATGCTATTTTATCTGCAAGGAGCAATAAATTATTGCATTTTCTTTCAAAGTGTTTATTATTACAGTTTTGTCTCTACTATAAGTTTAAAAACTGTTTATCCCTCCTTACATCAGGATGAATTTTTTTAAAGGCATAAATTGCATTCACCCAACTAGACCTGTCCAACGAAAGAAAACATTTTTTTCCTGCTTTCCTTTGTTTTACTCGGGATATTTGGTCCTCCTACTTGAATCCTAAATGGATGAAAATAATAATCAACGATTGATTTATTTGTGTGGACAAAATGATTTGATGCTGTTTCTTGTCATTGACAGAATGATCTGTGTGGAATTGCATTCAATTGATAAAACTGTGATGAAATGTTATTCGTTGGATGAATAAAGTTCGAAGTCAAGAGAAATTGCTTTGGCTCACATGATATTTTTTCAGCTGCCAGTCATTTCTTGGCATTTGATCACATCATTGTCTCTGCTCCCATCATATTGACTCCGTTGTCTGTTATTAATTGAAGCATGACTTTTCTTTCAAAACTACAACAAAGAGCACAAATTCTAGAAAGTGGAAGAAGCCTAACTTTTACTTTTCCTGGATTCTTGTCTGTCCAGTTCTCTACAGAACATCTCACCTTCTTTATCCGTATACTTTCAATATCACAAACACTTATGATCTTTTTTTTGAAGATGTACTCTATAAAAAGAAATGTCTCATAGTTTGACTTTATTCAACATGCCTCCAAATGAATGTATGAAGGTACAAAGTTTAAAATAAAGCTCCCTTGCTATGAAGTAAGGATACTACATAACCCTGAGAAATAAAGAACTGATCGTGAGCTCCACAAGCATAATACTAAGTGAAAAAGGCCAGATGCAAACAATGCATACTGTATGAGCCCATTTATAGAAAGTCCAAAATCAGATGAGGCTTACCATTGATGTTAGAAATCAGGAGAATAATTACTCATGGGAGACAGTGACAGAGAAGTAGCAGTGGGTACTTATGCCAAGAAAGTTCTGGTTTTTGATCTGGACGGCAGTTATAGAGATATATTCTACTTTGGAAAAAAAATCCCATGGTACTGAGCATTTATGGAAGTTATTTGCATGTATTTTATACTGTGATAAAAATTTACTAACAAAAAATAGTATAATTACTACAAAAAGAGTTTTTTTATTTGTTTTTGTTTGTTGTCATTGTGGTTGTTGTTGTTGAGTCATTAACTGATTAGCTGTGGAAGTGAGAGAAAACAAGACTATAGCGTGACTTCCAAATTTCTTTCAGGCACTAGTGGGTGGGTGGGTATACAGAGGACAAGAGGACACAGAGAAGAATCTTTTTATGGGGGGTGGGAGGGTTGATTTGGAGAACTTGACTGTGAAGTACCTGCAAGTCAGGACACTCAATCTAAACTCGTGATGAACACCTGAGATGGAGTACACATTCAGGAGTGGTCAGTAAAGCAATAACTAGAGCCTGTGAGAGGATGTGATTGCCAGGAGAAAAGGCAAGATGAGGGGGAGGGCTGGAGAAGGAGCAGGAGAAACCCTCGTACTCGACTACAAATTTCCATCCCAGGGAACATAAGCAGGATGGACTTCCTAGACTTTCAAACTCCATGGACCTGGGCTATCCTTGGGGCTCATCCCTCTCAGAAGGAGATGTGACTCATCCCAGGACCAGTATCCTTTCTCAATGACCTCTTGACCTTTACCTCTACTTTTCACATTCACATCCAAGTTCCTTGCACACATTAGATGAATGAGTGAATTCTTCACCAATAAGTCTTTAGTCATAACAGCATTCATAGGCTTTTGCAATGTCGAAAGAAAATGAAATAGAGGCCACAGGTGAATGCAAATGATGTGTATTTATGCTGGAAAAATGAGGGAAGCAATTTAAAGCACATATTGGAGGGGAGTCAGGGACTACGAATATAGGAGTTTTATAGCAAGTTCGAACAGAGCAGCAGGGGGTGGGGTGGAGATAGTTATTAGCAATTCTCTCACTTATAATTCCCTGTCCCCCTTCTCTCAGCTCAGTTCAATAAAGGCACCCATAAAATAAGTTCTCTTTCATTCTATAGGCAGTCAATAATATCTGACAACAGTTAGGTCAGCAAAATTGGCACTGGTGTCTACAGTATGGAAATCACCAAAGGAAACTATTGTTTGTTTTGAAATTAATGCCTCTTAGAATCAATAATTCATTGGAAAACTGATATTGACTACAGTGTGCTTGTGGGTGGCTTTCAGTGGGGTTGGAAGGTTCATTGGCTTCCTCCTTGCCACAGAGGTTAAATGAGCAAGTCGCTGAGTAAAATAGGCATAAGGCTCCTATCCATCCCATTATTTAAAAAGAGCACTGGACACCTAATAAAAACTCCAGGGAACATTAGCAACTATTTGCCAATTTGTGTTTTGACTATTAGTGTTTTGTTATTTGTTGGTTAAAAAAAATCATCATGAATTAATAGCACTAGCTATATTAAGGGTTTAATGTATATGTCAATACCCACCTTGTGCCTGGCTCTGTGATGCAATCTCTAAGAAAACTCTTAGATAAGACAAAGCCTCTCTCGGAGGTAAAATCTTATAACCTTAACTAAAAAGGGTCTAGACCACATCTATGCAAACCACTTTGCTTTCCTGATAAAGAAAATGATACCTGAAAGATAAAGAATGAAGTCTAGAATTCAGTTTTGCTGAATTGCAGTTGAAGGAACTTTATAGCATCAAATCTCTTTTGTGCTTGGATTTTTTCTAATTGCATCAAAGGAAACTCAAGAAATACTTACAATGATCAAAAACAATTGTTCACAGTTTATGGCCCAGGTTCGACTGGCCACAGAGTTCAGAGAGGAGAAGAAACTCAGAGGTAATGTGATATGAAAACAGATGATACCCAAAGGATCATAGTTCAAATCTCAGCTCTGACACCCGCTAGCAGGTGTCAGAGATAAGTTACCTAATCCTATGAGGTTCTTTAAAATGGAGATAAAATACCTTCCTTAGAGGTAGCTCTCATGAAGAAATGATGCTCATCAGTGGTGAACTGGATAAAGAATATGTGGTACATATACACCATGGAATACTATGCAGCCCTAGACAAGGATAAAATAATGCCCTTTGCAGCAAAGTGGATGCATATGAAGGCCATTACTCTAAGTGAAACAGCACAGAAACAAAAACTGAATACTGCATATTCTTACTTTTAAGTGGGGGCTAAACACTAGGTATACACAGACATACAGATGGAGAAAACAGACACTGGGGACTCTTAAAGGAGGGAAGGAGGGAGGGGGACAAAGGTTGAAAAATCATCCATTGGGTACCACACTCATGGTTCAGATGATGGGCAAAATAGAAGTAGAATTTCTCACCATCATGTAACATGCCCATGTAACAAATCTACATATGTATCCTTTGAGTCTAAAAAATATGAAAAAAGAAAGATACATGACTATTAGACCCATTAGACAATACATGTCAGCTCCTTCCCTTTTTTCCTCTCCTTCCTGGAGCAACCAGTCAGGAGTTCTGAGAATGCAGACTGCAGTGAACCCCAAGAAATTCGGGTGATTTCTTTTTTCCCTGAGCTGGTGTGTTGAGATTTACCATCCCATATCCACAGCTGCTTCAAGGCCTGAGTCATGAATCCTGGGCTTCATGGTCATCAGTTACTTGACTCTGCATGCGTGGGCATAGGATGTCTCAGCTACATACCAGGCTCACCCTCTAGAGCATAGTCTGGGAAAACAGAAAGCAGTTGTGCACCAGCCTTTTCACTATCTGCATGCAGTACTGCTAGCTGCTCAGTGTTTAGACCTACAACACAAAATCAAGGCCTGGAGAGAGGTTTTCATCTTCATCTCTCCCGTTTCCTAAGAACCTTTGAGAAAATCTGAATTTCATTTATCCAGAGAATGGTTTCCTCAAAAATAAAAGAACCAAGATGAAGTTCACTAACAGCAGTGAAGTACCTGCAGAAGCTCCCTGGGCCCCTGGATGATTATGCACTGACCTTGACTAACTTATCCACTTGGGACCTGCATTCAGACAGTCTCCATCACCCAATCCTTCAAAGACTTCATCTCTCCTGAGAATGACTGAAACTCATGTAAGTTAACAGTTCTCCCTGGACTGCAGACTGTGAAAACAAGTCAAGATGTCACAAGGGTAGCACTCCCTGTTCTAGTACTGCTAATGCAAAGACAAGAAGAGATAGTATAGACACAAAGGCACAGGGAAAACATGATCAAGACTTCAACCCTAAACAGACCCCTCCACACACACACACATATGCAGGAGCACAGAAGACCCTCAAGCACACAGAAGACACACACATGCACACAGCTTCACACAAGAACATTCACATATGTTCTGCACACACACACACACACA